GCAACCGCTAATTAGCCTACGAACACTAGCGGGACACGAATAATATCACTGCAAATCACTTCAAATATTCATGCCAAAGGGAGAAAAATCAATCAATCAATAAATAGATTTTTTTAATCTATAAAAACACTTCTCTAAAGGCAGCATGAATGAAGCAGAAGCTGTTAGAGGAAACGACATAATCAGAAATAATTCAGAGATTCTGTGAGGATCAATCAGAACCAATCAAACCAACACAAGCTTCAAAATACAGTTCAACATGTCAAGAGCTTTCCTGGAAAAAAAGCAACTTTTTAAACCCAGGGTTATTATAGTTAACTAAAACCAATATATATATATATATTGTCGCGGGGTGAATGAGAACATAGACTCGGTACTGATAGAAAGAGCCCCGGAGGGTGATTTATTGCCCACACACTGATCACACATGCTCGGAGGAATGGTGTTCGGTGCCCGTCTCAACGTGGTGCTCGTGGGGTGAAGTGCCGTGGTGCAGATCCCTCTCCTGGGGTGCCGTCGGAGTCTGTGAATAAGGAGACTCCGCTTTTATGGCCAGTGGGAACGAGCTCCAGGTGCGCCACTCATCACGCACAGGTGTTGTGCTTCTGTGATCAGTGTGGCAGCGGCGTTTCCAGGGCGACGCTGATCTGGACCCGGGATACTCGCCACAACATGTACATTTGTTTTATATCGTTTTGCCAATTCTGTCAGCAAGGTAAATTTATCAAGCTGGCTGACACAGATGAGGTTTTGTTGTTTTGTTGAAGTCTGACAGTCTTTGTGTCAAAATTGATAAATGACTAATGTTTTGCACTATAGGCTATGCCATCAGTTTCCAGCAAAACTGTCACAGAGTTACATTATAACTTTACATTTCTTCCTATTATTGCAGATAGAATAGAACATAAATTATTTGTTGTAAAGTGTCTTTTCAATGTTGATAAAATATTGCATATATATAGTTTCTTGATGCTGTTATTATTAATTTTTTGGTGAGGCCAGTGGAAATGGAAGGCAATGACCCCTATTGTTGCCCAAAATAATAAGGCCCCGATACCAATGGTGAATGTCTCGATTAGCAGATATTTTTGCATCACTGTCCGTGCATTAATTGTAGAGGAAATCCCTGGGGAAGAGCCAGGGTTAAGTGCCCAAATCACGTGTATAATGGCTAGAAGGCAGAACTGACTTCTTAATAATACTTCAGTTTCATGGGTCACCCCTTCTCACAAATAATCCTGTAACCTTTAGAGCAGAAACATTAATCCTGAACAATTACTTACCACACACTTTCCAAATCATCGTCTTTAAGAGCTGGACAGCAGGCATAAGCAAAGGATTGTGACATTGACAGTGCAGCACAGCAAGCAGTGGGGGGGGGGATCAGGATGCCAAATCAGGATGGCAGCCATTCTCTGAGGTGAAGACAATCCAAGGTTGTGATGTCTGGCACAAATTGCAAGCTCGAAGGAAACGTTCAATCAAAAAATTTAAATGTCATTATTTACACACCCTCATGTCATTCTAAACCATTCATGCTGTTGAATGCAACAATTCAGAAACCATGGTTGTCAAGCTACTAAAAGTACACTTTTAGAATAAAAGGTACAAAAGCTATCACTGGGGTGGCACTTTTTCAAAATGCACACCTTTTTACCCTATTTACCGCTAAACAGTGCATATTAGTCCCTAAATGGTACATAGTAGTACTTTTTGAAAGGATACCACTCCAGAAACAACTTTTCAACCTTTTTTCTAAGAGTGTACAGAAGAACACCTGAAAATGCAGAATGAGTTTTGAGAGCTGCAGCAGAGAGGAAGATTTTCAGTGAATCCCTGCATAAATTTCATACAGCAAATGCATTTTGCATGACTTCAGCGTGAGTAAATGATGACAGAGCTCTCATTTCTGTGCACAGAGTTCTGGCATTCGGCACGTTCCATTACTGGTCGGGTGGTAAGATCGCAAACTTCCCGCTGTGCAATCAGATGATGAGAGAAAGTTCTGCGTTCCCCGCCGAACTCTCTGGTCGCTGCGCTGAGCTGCACATATACGGTTGCTATTGGAAACAGAGGCTTGGCAGAGCTCTGGCGGGTATAAAGTGATCTCGGCCGCTCCCAGCTCATGTCCAGTTTAAAGCACATAAATCCAGGGCGAGACCTTCACTATCAAACATCAGAATTAAAATCAATACTGCTTTTATTTCTATCCACCTTATTTTTAACATGAGAGAGGGCGTGGCCATTTGTTACTTGAATGGGTGGGGCTTCTGGTGTCATTGGCTTCCATGTGCAAAAACAGCTCGATATTGCAAACTGGTATATAATTTTCATTTATTATCATAAATAGTTTTTTGGTTGACTGCATTTTGATATTTCTTCAAGTTATTTACTTATAGGAGTCTAATGAATCAAAGTCCCCCACATTCACCAAAAAAAAAAAAAAAAAACTATTTTTGTTTATATGGCTAGTAGAGGATTTGTGCTCATTGTAAATTGTGGGAATCATTTTTCCTATTAAAAATGTTTATTTTAGGGAGTGTTAAATTTAAAAGTCATATTAAATGTTCTGAAAAACAACCATCAAAGGAGTTAGAAGCCGTCGAGTGCTTTATTCCAAAGGTGGGCGAGAATCTCAAAGGTCTGCATGGGGACGCTTTGGCAATGTGTTTGTGTATGAGCTGCCAGTGGCAGCAACTCTGAAGCATCTTCTCTCGAGCTGTCAGCGGCCATGCATGTTACTCACAGCTTGTCTTTGCGGGTTCACAGCTGTGGAGAGGCCCATACTGCATCTAGAGCAAAATGAAGAAGCATGGAAACACAACATTGCCATTGAAATGAGCAATGTGCTCTAAGAAAACTCAAGAACATGATAGGTGAAGTGAGTTTCGGTTCTGATAGCAATGAGAAAATATTAAACTGTTCTTGAGACTTGTTAGGCTAATTATGGAACTTAAATTGGATCTGTACAGGGTTGAATAAGTATGCATGTCTGAGAGCATTTGTAGTCAAACAGTGCCCTCTTTTTGTTTGAAGAAACAACATGTGAACAACAGGATAACCGGATTATTGATCACAAACATCTGCTGCCCTCTGCTGTCAGGGTCTAATGCACTTTACTCTGCAAATGACTGCTGTTGTGCAAAAAGTTTTTTTTGATTTGTGAAATAGCAAAAATTTTGTATTGTATTACTGCAAAGACAAAGTCTACTATTATTAATATGGGACTACTATTTCCCATATTTAGACTAGCGTTAAGGATTAAAGTAATAGTATTAGTTCACCCAAAATTGAACATTCGTAATTTACTCATCCTCATGTCGTTTCAGAGCTGAATGGATTTCTTGTCTCTGCAAAACACAAAATATGTTTTGAAGAACACTGGAGTCCAAGCAACATTGGACCCTATTGACACTGAGGGGGACAATAATTAGAAATGGCCAAATTGTCCCTCGAATATTTGACAATAAGTTTTAAAATGCACATTTTTAGGCTGGTCTTCCTCAGCAGTGATCGTCATTGTCAAAATGATTGAGATGACCAATCAAATCAAAGAAAGCAGGCTTCAGTGGGAAGAATCTGTTTTTAACGGTGAAAAAGTGTGAGGTAAGATGTAAATACCTAAACAAGTTGACAGCTTTTACGAGGGATGCATACTACTTACCCTTTATTTGTTTTTTTGTCAAATGTCATTGTTTTGAATTTAAAATATAGACTGCCATTTACGTGATTGATATAATTCATAATTAACAAGACAATAAGTATTTTTCCTTTTTGATTTTCATAATGGATTAATCGTATGAGTAATAGTCATTATAAGTATGGAATAACTCATGGAAGTATAGGAATTATGTAGTGACAAAAATAAATTTGTGCATCTTTTTGTCTACATTATTTGATTGATTTACATGATAGCACTATAGGTGTTCTGTATAGATTTATCTGCTATATTTTATACATTTCCATTCATCTTAACATTAAATATAGATGTCTGCATAACATACAGCATCCACCAGTAGGACTTGATTAAGATGAATATACATTTTTCAACATGTACTACCAGACGTGCCCACTAGATGTAGGCAGAGTTCAACAATTGTGATGTTTAATTACAGCACCGTTAAATTATTAACAGCCTACACAGGCGATACCAAGATATAGCCTTGTCATATTTCTTGTTATATGTACAAGATTTTCATAACTTCTTTAATTTTTGCCTTCATAAATAAGAAGTTTACATTACTATCGTTTTGTGAGGGACAGTAATTCTAGAATGATATGCAGAGATTTTAAATCCCATGTGGCTAGTCAGATAAAAAAGAAAGTAGTAATCATAACAACAATGCTAATAATAATAATAATCGAATACTCATATTTTCCCTTTAATAACCATTATTCAAATATTTCTTCGCGGGATTAATAAAGTACTTTAATTATCTGATTTATTTATTTTAGTCATTTAGCAGACGCTTTTATCCAAAAGTGATATCTGATAAGTGAAACAGCAGATCATAATTATTTCGTTTCATTATTATTATTATTATTATAAATCGTATTCACAATTTCCCTTTTGGCATCATTAAAGTATATTTATATAGTGCGAGCTAAGCATGATATATGTAGAAATGTGTTCTATAATGCGAGACTTCAATGCACACTATTCCCTCAGAATAAGCGACACACACCGGCAAGCGAGCACTTTCTGAACGCCTGACTGACTTGTGCCGTCGACCAAACATGACAGTTCCTTCCTGTTATCCGCCTCCAGAAGGTTTTCTTCACAGTTCCCGCCTCCCCGCTCCTGCTCCTGCTCCTGCTCGAGCCCTCGCTCCCTGTCAATCATCCGTTTGGAATCACGCTAGTGTGCGCACGCAGCTCCGCTGATGTAGGAGGAGACGCTGCTGTCATCTGCAAAAAAAACAAATGCCATAATCCATTTTTAAAGGCAACGGGCTTTTTCCCCCTTATAGGAATTTACATTTTTCTACAAGTGTTGTGGCTGAGCGCTCCTGTGACACAAAACGACACGAAAGGGAATGTTTTTGGCATTATTCAATTACTCGCTGTGAAGCAGTGACGCTTCATTCACCACCTTTTCTGAGGAGGAATCTCTTTTTCCTCCATTTGAAGGGGTGGATAAGGCTGGAGAGGGGGGGCATAGGGAAAGTGGATGTCGCGACTGTGCGATCTGTCCCGTTTTCACCGGGACCCGTGTTGGTGGTGAGCCGCCACGGAGCCGTTGTGGGAGTGTCGCGACGCACGCGAGGATAGTTTCCCCTGGATTTTTCAATCATTTGCGAGATAAGGCTCCCGGACCACCTCCTCCTCGTCGTCGTCGTCGACGCTGCCCTCCCTTCCTCATCCTCCCGGGTTTTTCTTCCTCTCTTACCTCCGTGATTTTGCCGCGGTCCGCACGCGGGGTAGAGGCTCGCGCTCACCGCGAGAGGACTGAACGCAGCGCGCGAGGCCCCCGACCCCCTCCCCCACTCTCAAACCCCCTTCAGATCATCTCCTCACCTCCCTTCTTCTTCTTAATATTTTTCCTCAGAGGAGGATTGGGGGGTTATTTCATTTTTACCCGCCTTTTTTTTCCAGCGGCCACTGATATTTTCGTGTGTGTTTTTTTCTCGTTTCTGAAGCCCCGACGAGGCCGGGCTGTGTACAGTAAAGCAGTGGGGATGACTTTAGAGTCGATGATGGCCTGCTGCCGTAGCGAAGAGGCCAAGGAGTCGAAACGAATCAACGCCGAAATCGATAAGCAGCTGCGTCGAGACAAACGCGACTCGAGACGGGAGTTGAAGCTGCTCCTGCTCGGTACGAGTTCCGCCGCCGCCGTTAAACTCACTCATACACACATATATACAGTCAGTCGACAGGTTTCGCTGTGGTTTTCAACGGTGACTTGTGGTGCTTTTATCGTGGTGGCGGTTTTGTAGCGTAGATTTGAGGCGGTTGCGGTTAATGTTTTTTTTTTTTTAATCCAAGTGAATAGTTTAAAGGCTATCGGCGTTAGCGAATAGTGCTAAGGCCTTAGCGCGTTAGCATATGCGGGCTGAATGCTGGGCAGGGCCTGGCATGCAACAGCACACAAATCTCAGCATGCTCTCTGTTATGTGCATATGCATGTACATGTTAGTGTACATCAGAGGCGAAATGGTTGTACACTGGCTGGTTTGTTTTTGTAGCTGTCAGTTTTGTGTTATGAGTCAACCCAAGTGGTCTGTTGTATGATATTGCATGTTGCATGCAGCTAGAGAGAGGAATATGTGCAAATGTGCAATCGAGGATGACTGTACTGTATGGCAGAGTTGCTTTGCACAGTGTCAGTAAGTGCAAATTAAACGAGAATGTTTTGTGGTTTGTGCAGCTGCATGAATCCTGTCGGATTACAGTATTCAAATCTTAGGGAAATCAGGCAGAGGTTTGTGAGCATGTCAGCTGAGCATTTATTGCTTTAGTGATGGACGTAAATGCTTTTTAGTTGGTGCAGATGATGTTTTTTTCCCCTTGATAATCTTCAAGTTAATGAGAAAAAAAATTAATTAGTATGTAAGTATCAGCCTTGAGTGCAAAACATCAGTCACCATGTGCATCTTGGGAGCATTACCGCGTCAGTCTGTGCCACCTGTCAAATTTTGGTCGTGTTGCACTTTTAGCATTTATTCCTGGGTTGAATTATCTCAAAATGGTGGACAGTTATTGCCTTATGAGGGCGTGAGTGCTCTGCACACTGGACTCTGGTTACTCCCAAGGAAGGAGAATTGGATGCTTTATCAAGCTGTGAAGTTTGGTTGCTGTTCTGTCTATGACTCAGTGAGTTGGTAAGCAGTGATATCTGACACGGACAGCCTTCATTCATTTCCTATTAGTCAGGACTGTTTTTCCGCTTGAAACCACAAAATGAGCTGCCCGTATTAAAATGGATCATACAGTAGGATGAAACAGTGAGCTGATAGGGAGAGATGGACAGAAGTGTGAGTTTTGGTGAAATCTTGCGGAAAAGAAGTCCAATTGACCCTCGCTAAACTCTGCCCACCTTGGTTACGGTTACCAACTCGGAGAAGCTTTACAGAACATCCAATTGGAATGAACTTGAGATTTCCATGAACAATATGATTTATTTTTAGTAAATTGTTTTCTCTGAAATTAAAGATCTACAGGATTCCCGACAAGGCTGCATGTGTTTGACGTAGATACATTTAACCGGGGGGAAGGGGAGTGTAAGGAAGGGTCAGTTGTCTTGAAATTTAGATTTTTGTTATTTTGAATCTGTTAATTGAAACATTGGTGAACCTGTATGCAGGATTATTTTACCTTTTATTTTAAGTTGTCACCACGCAAGCTTGTCAACGCAAACCAAGCTTTGCATAATCGTTCTTGAACTCTGGATAGGAACAGGAGCAGTTCTGTAACAGTGAATGATTCTGAGGACACAGTGGCTCCTATGTGGCTCTGTGACCTCTGTGAAAATACATGAGATTGACCTTTACCGCTATGAGAGAATTAATAAGTAAAAGTTCTCTCCCATATGCTATCCCTGTGCCACCAAAGGAAGTATAAAAAAAGCAGTTTGTTGGTGCTCAGTCATCCTATTAATGGCCCATCCTAAACAAGTTAAAACTGTCAGCCTAACTCTGGATAAGTCTTGGCTAGTCTGGATTAGCCAAGACCTTAATAGGCTTTGCGAACACATATTTGCTTCATTGCTGATACCATAGCTGCTTTCTGTTAACCAGCGTCTCACTCTGTAAAAACAGCTTAGTCTAGATAGTTAAGCTTTGAAAAATTGTGGTTATTAGTAGGGCTGGGTGATATTTCAGATATTCACAAATGTATATGCAACGATTTTCGGCCAGATTTGTGCTATCTTGTTTTGCGGCTTGGCTGTACGAGAGCATTGTCTCTATGTGGCAATATTCCTGTGCTGAAATATTTTCAGGAAAAACATTTCATGTTAAATTTTGCTGCCTATGTGTCGTCCCCCCCTCTGTATTTACTGTATTATCATGTCATGCATTTAATTGGCCACAGTGGCACTTTGGTCAAAATTATGGATTGTCTGATTGGAAAAAAAAAATAAAAACAACAAAGTAATATTGGTAAAAGCCTGAGATGATTTTTGTTGTTGTTGTTGCTATATGGACCAGTTCTAATTATTTCATATTTGGCATAGTATATTAAATTTAGCTGTGCTTTTGAAAGTTTAATAACACAAAAATGTCTTACATGTATGCATTTGTCAGATGCTTTTATCCAAAACTACACAGATTGCATGTAGGATTTTTCTCTATCATTTTTCTTCGTTCATGCTTTCCCTGGTGATCAAACCCCTTGATCTTGGCGTTGACAGCGCTATGATCTACTTGTAGTCAAACAGTAGTAGAGCATGGTGCTAGCAACACCAAGATCATGGGTTTGATTCCCAGGGATTGATGCATGAACTGATAAAATGCAAGGTAAGTTGCTTGTATAAAAGTGTTTGAGCGTTTTCTGATATTCTCTTACAAACTTTTTGAAGTAATATTTATCATCTAGAGCTTTTTTATTTTAGTCCAGACTCCAGAAAATAATCCTACTTGTGCCTTTCAGGGCAGGGCTGTTTTGAATCTGATTCAAGCTTGCATCTCCAATGCCCGTTTCATTAGGATCATCTCTTTGTGGCTTTACAGTTTGCTTGGGATACAGGTAATGCAGATTCACTGTTGAATTCAGTGAAATGTAGAATTTGTCCTATTTTTGAATGACTTTCATTGAACACTTTCATGCTGAAACATGCTGGGTCAGTGGCTACGTTTACATGCAACCAAATAATCCGTCTGTAATGAGATTGACGGCTCAATCGGACTGAAAAGCCTTCATGTAAACACCTTAATCGATCCGATTGAGCTCGATCGGAATGAAATTTCGACCGGATTGAAAGGGGTGGTTTATTCGTTTTCTAATACGATTGAGAGTGCATGTAAACACTCGATCGGATTGAACCCCGAAACTGAAAGGACTGCGTGTGTGCAATGATGCAGAAATAGCATAGTGGCATGTAACGCGCGGAACGAGCGGTTCTTCCTTTTGAATAAAGTGTTGTATAAATGCGTGTCCTGACATTACAAAACTCTCCTTTCACTCGGCAACTGTGAAGTGGAGCAGGACAACCTCCCACCAGTCCTTGTTTTGGATTCTCATCCACAGACAACCTGTTTTGGGTGCGGGGAGGGGCATTTTTACTGCGTGATAAATATGAGCAGCACGGCACAGCGGTTTATAAGTATATTTATCCATAAATTGATCAATATTAATTCTGCTGTTAAAAACAAATAAAGAAACCGTGTAGGAAAGTGGTTATTATTTGCAAACAGTGAGAAACTCTATATTTGTGCAGTGTGCGCATGTAAAAAAAAAAATCGATTCCGATTTGAAGCTTGTGACGTATAAACGCGCACATCAACCCGATCACTTTATTTAGCGTTCATGTAAACACTACATTCAGATTCATCAATCGGAATGAATTCAGTCCGATTGAACCAAAAATTGTGCATGTAAACGTAGCCAGTGTTCTATTTTCAATGGGCTGCAAAATGGAAAGCAAGTGTACTGGATGCATTGATTTAAATTAACAGGACAAACATTTTAATTGCTGATTTTCTCTTCTGAGGTCACTGGCTTAACAATAATTGTTTAAATGTTATTGCAAAAAAAAAGTGCATTATTTTAAAGTTAAGTTTATGATTTTCCTGCTGTCTGCGCTCCGCGCTCTAGTAATGTGCTGTGTATTGTTTGAAAGCTCAGAGAGTTTTTATGTAGCTGTGACCTTTTGAACTGAAGTCTGGATATGTTTTGTCATTCACAATGTGAGATATTAAATCATTTCAGTTGCACAGAGAAACATATTTTATGTATGACCTCTGAAATCAAAGTAGTGTTGTGTTTTTAGCCTTTAACCAACCTTAACAGTAGTACAGGAGATTAGGCCTTCTTCTGGAGATGTAACTGACTGTAACGGTTTGTTAGCCCTGCAAAAAATATAGGAAACAGGCTATGATATGTTTTTAATAAATTAGAAATTGGAAGTGTTAAAATATGCTGGTCTACTTCCCTGCAATCCATGCATCCTTAAAGTTTGTATTTAGTGAAGGCTATTAAGAGGTTAGTCTGTGTCGTTTAGCTTCTCGGATCTTCTCAGAAGTCTTTGGTTCTACACATTCAAAAGTTTGGTAGCAACAAAACACCTATGCATATGCACATCTTGGTAGTGTGTGTAGCCATTTCACTTAAGCATGATTGCTCATTTAAGAAATTCCCAGAGATTATGTAATCAAGAAGCATTCAAAAATATGCTGCATCTTGCTGTCATCTTACGGGATCCAAGTATGACATCTACACCAAGTTGTAATCTCATGCATGCTCTCAATTATGGAGATGTTCTCCTGATGATATAATCATACTGTTAATGCTAACAGTGTGTTTTATGAACCACGGTTTATGAGATGCTTTCACCCATGCAACTTTAACATAAATTGACAAGAATGTTCTAATGGATCTAATGGACTGTTCATTATTGTATATATTGCTATCGTATGGACATAAGGTTTTTGGCCCAGTTCAAATTTCATTAAGAAGTCATTCATGAACTCGTTGTTCTAGTCATTGTATTTTAACTCATCCTAATCCGCTTCTTCACCCATTTGACCCCCGCTCGGTAAAGAGTTCGTTTTATCCAGCTTCTCGATGGCTTAGTTTGACAGGGCCATGACTTCCTGCCAGTGCCATTCATTTGGTCTCTCGCTTCACTGAGCTGCCCGCTCCACCCTTTCCCGCTG